TTAGGGTTTAAAATAACTTTTCTATTTTAATACGTTTTAAAATGTAATGGATGGAAAACTGTGTCACATCATCCTTCAGAAATCATTCTAATATGCTGGTTTGCTGCTAAAGAAACATTTTTGTTTATTAGGATAAATTGTTGAATAAATATCAATATCATATTTCATGTCTTCTGAATTTTCGTTTATATACCCTTAGACATTGAATTTGTGTATTCAGCTAATAGTATGCTGCAAGTTCACTTTTTTTTTTTTTTTCAAAGTGATCACGTTAGTGTTTGTAAGTACCAGTGTGGATTCAGACGTTTCCATTCTGTGACTGATGAGGATAAAGCTACTCTTTGGTTGTCCAGACAGATGTGGATAGATGAGGAGAGAGGGTTTGAGAGAAAGAGTGATGGAGCTCTAGTAAGGTTATTCCGCAGGGGCTTTCGACTGAGAGTCCACTTATACTGCCTTGAGTTCCAGCACTCAGAGTCAGACAGGTCTAATCAGCTCTCAGCAGACAGCATAGATCACTGATTCAGATGAGCTCGGTGTGTCTTAAAGCCTCTGCCGAAAACGAGAGGGCATGACATGACAGACGGAGCGAGAGGCGAGCAGGAGGAAGTTGGGACTGAGCGGGAAGCAAAGGGTGACAGATGGAATTGCAAACAAAGGGAAAGGCAGACAGGAAAACATCTTACTGGACATAGACTTCGAAGTCCGTTGGGATATACGTCGGATGCTGAAGGTGCCAACTGCAGTAGAAGCCTTTGGGATAGGTGTTTGATCGACACGTCACCTGCGGTTCCTTCGGAGGAACTGTGAAGAAAGCAGAAGGGTGGAAATTTTGTCAGCAACAACACCTTCGGAAATCCATCAGCAGCCCAAAATACAAGTCCCAGGAGGCTTCTTTTTTTTTTTAACGATATCCCCTGCTTCTTTGGCCGTGTAACCCCTTGAACCTCCCCTCTTCCAAGCATCAAGTGGGAAAGGAAATGTAATAACCGCCCATGCCCTCCTTCCAGATTAGGGTCCTTTTTTACAGCACCACTGGACCGTGCCTACCACTGCCAGAATTGAAACTGATGACTTGGACCAGTTGCCAGGGTTACGCATAATATTACCCCTTCTCATGTGTTCCTGTGTGTGAAATGGAGAGTGATTTAAGCCCTGTTGGCTGCTGAGCGCCGCCTTCTCCTTCCTCATCTCCATCGGCCCCCGGGGGCCTGACAAACAAGAGCCCGCAAGAAACAAAACCACTTCTAAAGCTCACCTATGGGCTCCCCTTTGAGCTTTGATTGCGCTAAACACCGCAATAAGCTGGCAGCTTTTACACACGTTCTTTCCTTACGTGATTGCGATGAGACTGGCTTTGAGATTTTTGATGGAGATTTCGGCAAAGTATCTGTGCACTTGTGGGAACTTGCGGTTCTCCTAAGGCCTGATATAAAAGGCACAGACTAAAGAACATTTGAAAGTGTCTTTAAGCCCTTTCTGAGCCATGTGAGTAGTGGTGCTTGCTAAGGTAAGCACCATTATTACGGCAAATAACCTAACCTATGTGAAACTATGGTATACAACTGACCCTTTTTTGTGTAACACACATGAATGATGCCTCAAATTATGTTCAATTACTTTAGACAATCAACTTAGTGGATAATAAAACAGACAAAAAAGGGACCCAAATATAGAAACTAAAATTGACAGACTTGAGGGTCAGCTCTTTTGATTTGGGCCAATCAGCAACCACCAAGAATACCCTGGCAACCATGTTGCAATACCCTAACAACCACCAAGAACACCCTAGCAACCAGATATTTTTGTATTTTATTTTTAAAAAATATTTATTTATTTATTTATTGCAGTGGTTTAAGAATAAACAAGAGAAAAAGCAAATATAATAATAATAATAATAATAATAATAATAATAATAATAATAATAATAATAATAATAATAATAATAATAATAATAATAATAATAATAAAGCCAGTAATATAAAACAAATCATACTTGCATTCTAAATAGATTGAGAAAACAAGCCTTAACATCATATGCATTTTTTTTTCTAAAGTAAATAAATCATGTTGAGATATTTTTACTTTAAAAACAAGACAAAGAATATTATTTTATAAGTGCAGAAACAAGTATTACCTAATAGTACCTCCTTCAATAACCTCTTACACTGACCCCTCCAGACTTTTACTTTAAGTCTAATCAATTAAATTTTTTATTTATTTTATTTTATTTATTATTTTACAGCAGGATGTGACATTTTCTGTGAAAATGCTGTCCTTTTAAATCACTCTGCTGTTACTTGGGCGAAACATATTGTTCAATTCATTAGTCAACAATGAAGAATCAATTACGAATTTAGTTGTACTCTTTTGCGAGGAAATAAACAAGAATAATGACCAAATATCAGGTAACTGCAAACCATACATTGCTAGACTAAAACAGTGAAATTAAATTAGCTGTGTGAGAAAACAGGATACAGGAGATAGGAGAACACTTGTTAGAGGAGAGGAGAGGAGGAGTCCGGAGCACAATGCGTTTGACCTGACATTCCATCCATGAGCTGCGAGCTCAGAGTTTAGACAGGTTCTCCTCAGGAGGTGCATTCCTCCATAGAGTTGGGCCTGCAGGAGGCCTTCCTCAACCTCAGGCCAAATGGGCACGCTGACAGCTCACGGACCATTATCCCCAGCTACTAACAACACCGGAACCCTCCCCTTTCACTTCCCCACCCTTCCCAAAAGAAAGTGCATGGCTATCCACAGAGTGGATCTCAGAGACATTCTCCAAAGAGACGAAAGCGGCAAAACAAAAGAAGTTTGCTTTTCTGAGAGAATTTGCAACCTAGCAACACCTCTATTGTTTCCTGTACGTTTTTTTTTCTTTCCCCCCTTTTTCTAGGACAGAATGTTGTTGAAGTGACAAAAGACATATCTCAGTGTTCTTCCTTATGAGTGATTTCATCTAAGCTACCGGTGCCAAAGGAACAGCGTTAGCCGGAGATGTGGAGAAGCTAAACAAAAGTGTCACTTAAGCCATTTTGATCACACTAGCATTGTAGGAAACGAAAGGGAAAGCTATTTAAAGTGCTTAGTTACGAGGGGTGAATCTCATAAAGAAAGTTCTAAATTATATTTCAATGGAAAATAGAAATGAAAAAAATATATATAATATGATGAGTTTTTTAATATATAATAAACTAATAAAAATATACACTAAATAAAACACACTAAAACACTGCTTTACGTAAAGCAACAACATGGGACTGTTTGCCTCATTGATGTGAAACTCAAAAAGTGATAAGGCCACCCCACCCCCCCCCAATATGGTCAGCAAGACCTCACTTTATGTAGCCATAACACTTTGGAGTGCTGTCATATCATATCAAGGCCTAGCAAATGATACCTTCCAAACTCTTGGTACAAAAAGAGAAACTTCAGTACTATTTGTAATAAAAGCTGATAATTGCAGTGAATGAAGAGGTGCAATTTAGCTGTCAGACGAAGTACACTTAATGGTGAAAAAAGTCTTCTCAGCCTTCCGGAGTCCTGTTTTTCTATATTGATGCAATTTAAATGAAACATACGAAAACATTTGCCATTGACCTTGGCTGCTTATTCTTTAACCCCACTTTAAATCTGAATCCTGCTTGTCACTCAAGGCACTGAAAGCATCATGTGCGATTCTGACCGAGTCTACGACCCTAGAGGCATCAGGTAAACTCTTTTCACACATTCAACAAATCCAGCTGGTCATACAAAATACAAAAAATAAGGCTGCACTATTGGCCCCCTGCGTTGCTGGCTGTCTGCTCCCTAATCTGAGGCCATCAAAAGGCCGGCACAATGAAAGACGTGGATTCAGGGGTCAGTTGACAAACGTCAAGCCGCCAGGCCACATAAAAGGCAAGCAAGTGAATCTCAGGTGACCACCACCATCATCACTAACTGCTGATCTGTCAAAGCTGGGTTGGAGCCCCCCTCCATGACACGTCTGGAATGTGGACTATGTGCTCGGCAATTGGAAGCAGTGGCGAGAGCAGTGCGGGGAGGGGAATGGGGGTCAAGTTGCATGGAAGGGCTCTACCTGGGAAAAAAATGTGGAGATAATTTGCAAGGGGCTAATTTGACAGAAATGCAGGGAGGAAGACTGATGATTGCTGGGCATGTGGTTGAAAAACAAAGAGGGAGGGGCTGATGGATGAAGGAGGGGTGCGATAGGTACATTGACTGCCCTTGTAGACAACAGCATGGAAGAAGTAACGAATGAACCGAGCAGTGTTTGTGTGGTCTTAGAGCCAATGTGGACACCCATGAGAAAAGTGTCTCTTTTTGGGAGTTGTTCTTTGCTGTACCTTAACAATATCCTGAAATTTGTATCTTTGTATTTGAACATTGTCAAATCATTCATTATCATGCATGCCCTACTGGGAAACAAGAGTGTCTGTATTCGGAATAGATGGGTTTTGACAGGGGTGTTATTAATCGAGAACACTGGGCAATGTGTTTGCACTCACTCACATTTATTAGCAAGTCAAATGCCAAACTTTGATGTCTCTGTGTCCAAAAAAAAAAGAAAAGAAAAAAGTATTGCATACTATGCGAAAGCATGAAAGTTAACACTAATGAGAAGCTCTAACATTCTCCATTTGGTGGTAAGGATCTCTTTAACACTAGAGTCAAAGGTGCAATCATAGAAATATTATATATGCATTTAACAAATTCCTATTAGTTGAAGAAATTTAGCTTACTCCAGCACAGTTTCATTGGTGTCCCAGCTTGACCAATCTGGTTTTCAGATGGTTTGGTTTGTCTCCTAATCTGACCAGGCTGGTTATCAAGTCTAGATCAACTCCCAACATCGCTATTATTCAAATGGTTTTGCTGATTGGTCAGCTGGTCTGCCTAAAAAACCCTCTAAAACCATCAAAACAAACCAGCCTAACCAGTTGACCAGGCTTTGGGAGCTAAGATTTTTTTTTTAAGCAGGGAGAGAGGTAAGCATCAGGTTGTAGCTCACAGAGCATATCATCTCCAATTAGTCAAGGATTAACTAGCGGTGAGGATGGACAGGCCTCAATGAAATATCAAGCTCTTCAACAATCCAATATTCCCTCTAAATCCCTCAGAACGGTGCTTCAGGTTTTTATTTTTTATTTTTTTATGAATGTCTGTGAACAGCTGGGAAGTTTGGTTCCATTTACGGTAGGGTGGGTGATGGTGTACGGCCAGTCTAATATTCTACAGAGAGGCAGGGGATAAATGGTGTTCATTGTGTGGATGGAGTTCCCTGTCATTCCACAGTCATGCTAATGGCTCTAATCTGACAGTGGGCTCTGGCAGTCGGCTCTTTACTCCTTGCCTTTTCCTGACATCCCCTCCCCCCTCCACCTCCAGCCCTTCACATTCCTGTCCCCCGTGTCATCCACAAGGAACGAGCGGTATTACATGCCTGTTTGTTCCCTTTGTCATACAGCCTTCCCAGCTATTAGGGTTTGAGTTAGGAGGGGCAGTGGTTGGGAGTTAAAGACGGAGAAAAGAGGGTGTTGTGAAGGGGAGGATGGTGGGTTTCTGCCTGAGACCACTAAGCTCAAGCGCTGGCCCACATTCACTCTACCCCTGCTGATCACTAGCCATTGTTTCTGATCAGTCAGGAATTTGCTCATGCAAATCCGTCTTTGATGGAAAAAAAGAGGAAGACAGTTAAATATGTAAGCTAGGGTCTGGCGGTGGAAGGCAGGGCAAACTGCAGACCGTTGAGTTTGATCCATTGAAAATGACAGCAGAGATTTTTCATAGACCCACTTTAGCCATAGGGTAATGAACCTACAGATTTTTAGCAACCTAGGTCAGCAGTAGACACCCGCAGATTACATTTACATATTTACATTTAGACATTTAGCAGATGCTTTTATCCAAAGCGACTTACAAATGAGGACAATGGAAGCAATCAAAATAAAAAAAGAGCAATGATAAGCAAGTGCTACCTATGCAGATGTGTACAGTATGGCTGCAGTCTCCTCATTATGCGAGCAGCCTGAGCATTTGAGCTGAAAATTGGCATGCCAAGACAATCGAAAGCCATGTGGGTCGAGCAGGGATGAGAGTGTATCAGCTTAAAATACTAGAGGTAATCTACTCTGACAGGCCCAAACCCAATTGGAATTAAACGCCACATGGGTGCTTCAGGAACCCATGGG